CACTTTAGTGCAAGTGCATATAGGCAACACCCATCAGCCACACAATTTTAATTTCATAGGACCCGACACAGTGCTGTGATTTTTCTTATTTCTCTTTGATTTTGACATCGTTTTGAATAAGTTATTTCTTATTGACATTAATGTTTTCTCAGCAGTGTGTTTCGGTGGTTTTATATCGTATTGATGTATTAAAAATCTTAACCACGGCCCCACCTTCATCAGGGATCCCGCCGTAATTTTTATTGTGACACAATAGCATTTGTTAGAGGAATAAATACAAGCGTTGTTTTTCTAGTACCTGGCTACAGGCTTTTATAATATAGGGATAGATAACCCCAGAAGTAGTAGTAGTAGTAGATTTATTCAGGTAATAAAATCAATGTATGATACAGGGTGGTACAAATATAAATAATGCATAAAATGAAAAACCTAATAACAGTAATAAAATTTCAAAAATTGATATAAATTTTTAAATACAGGTGTCATTTTCCGAATGTTTAAAATATGAAGCAATTGTTGACATTTATAAATTTTATGAATAAAATAAGGATATGGAAATAACGAACAGTATTCAATCCCAACGTCCATTAAACAAATATACAAAATAAGAGCAGAGCAAACACGGACCTCCGAAACATCAGAGGTGGGATCAGGTGCCATGGAGGAGTGAGCATCCCCTGCTGACCGGTCACACCCGCCGTGTGCTCATTGTCATAATCAGGAAATAACGGAAAAAATCCGTAGTCAATTCAGTGTATAAATAATGGACTAACAATTGGTATGAAAAACGTCAGTCAGCATTTCATTCAATGATAAATTGTATTTGCTGACAAGGTCATTGTATCGACCATAGAATTTACGAAATGATGACTTTAAACGAGACTGTTGATATTCTTGTTTCATCAACTTGCTTGTCAATAATTTACCTCGTTTAAGAAATTTTTCATACGTAGAGCATGTTCTTGCGTATCGAATCAACTGAGATATAAATACTCCGTATGCAGGTGATGAAGGTATATTGCTGCATAAGTAAGGGAAGTTGACGATAGAAAAGTTAAAGTCATCACGTTTATCATATAGCTTGGTTGTTAGATTACCATTTGTGTCTTTTTCAAGTAAAATATCCAAGTATGAAGCAGAAGTGTTGGATTCTGTGGTATCTTTTATCTCAAGCTCACCAGGATATATCGTGTCGACGTAGGAATGGAAATTATCATTATTAATTGACAATACGTCGTCGATATATCTAAATGTCGAGTTGAAGGCCACAGCAAGTGTTTTTTTCTTTTCACGCAAAAGATTTTGAATAAATTCTGCTTCATATGAATATAAAAATAAGTCTGCTAATAACGGAGCGCAATTTGTACCCATGGGAATTCCAATAGATTGTTGGAATACCTGGTCTCCAAAAACCACATAGATATTGTCAATCAGAAACTCAAGCATCTTCTTGATGTCAACTTCAGAGTACTTATGTGTACAATAAGAATCTGTTTTAACAAAATAATTTTTCAAATGACCAATGACGAGGTAAGTAAACTTACGAGTTCCATTTTTGTTGAAGAAGCAGCTGTCAATGATATCAAAAAGCCTGGATTTTAATTTGTCGTGCGGAATTGTTGTGTATAAAGTTGAAAAGTCGTAAGTTTTTATGCTGTTGATTTTTGTAAAGTCTTGTGATTTCAAATTGTCCAAAAGTTCTTTAGAATTTTTAAGTATCCACATCTGATTTACACCACTTCTTGAATATATAGTTGTACAGTACTCTTGAAGTTTTTCCTTCACTACTGTCAATATTTTAGTGAGAAGTAACGAAAGAGGCTTGGTTGAACATTTACTGGAACCTGCAATGTATCTTTGTTTGTAAGGATTCTTATGAAGTTTCGGAATCCAATATATATAAGCTAGTTCAGATTCATTTTGGCTCTAATATATGCATTATAATCATCGTGGTATCATGACATTAATTAATAAACCTAAGGAAACCCTGAAAGCAAAATTGCTTATTTCCAATGGGGTCCTTTTTATAAATAAATAAAACAAAAAAAACAAACTAAACAACAAAAATTAAGTACGCGGATGTAGGCAAAATTTTGGCAGATACATTAATCAAGGCACCTCATTCAGATAGGACAGGTATTAAAAAACCCTGTATCAAATTTAAAATTAAATTACACAAAGCATTTAAAATAAAACAATACATAGTTGTTAAAAATCAAAAATATATAATTTAATTTCACTTGCTGCGTCATTCGGAGGAATATATAATATTTTGGATAACATAACTTGCCTACGTCACAATGATACGTCATTAACGTATTACTCCGCTTGACGTTACTTTTAAAATAATGCTCAATTTGAAGTCTTTTTCTGGAAAAAATATTGTCTCATTGTCTACTCTGAAATTAAATTATAAGGAATGAATCTAATTTCAACTTATGTTATCCGATATAACAAAACTTGGGGCAGTTTACGCTTTCCTATAAACCGCTTCGCGGTTTATAAAGCGTAAACTGCTTCAAGTTATGTTATATCGGATAACATAAGTTGGAATTAGCTTCATTCCTTAAATAAACGAACTCTCTTCACAGCTTTTAAAATCCTCCATTAGATACCTTTTTACAATGTTCTTAAAAGTTTCTTTACTTTCTAAATTCTTAATGAGGCAAGTCATTCCAATCTTTGATGGCATTGTAATAAAAAGTCTGATCTTGGCAATGTCTAATCGATGGCAATTTAAAGTTGTGGCTATTTGAGGATCTAGTATTGGAGTAATAATTACAAAAACTGGTAAAAAATTGTTTCAGGATAAACAGGGGCTTTCTTATGAACAATATTAAAAACATGATTCAGTCTCATCTGCTTCACTGTCCTGTCCACATTCAACATATTAATAGACTCAAAAATACTATGATTGATGGGATGCATCGGGGATAAATCCAACATAAATCGAATGACCTTATTTTGGCAAATTTGTAATGTACGTTTCATAGTTTTTGACAGTCCAGAGTACCAAGAGCTACATGAATAATCTAAGTGACAGAGGATAAGTGCTGTACATAATGAGAATTTGCTCTTTTGATCCAAGCATCTTGCTTGTCTATACAAAAATTTTAATCTACAGTTCACCTTTTGAACAATAGAAGATACAATATTTTCACCAGATAATATTTGTATATATTGACTCGTTTACATCTTAATCATTCTGGTAATTATTTTCTGTAAATCTGATCATTTTTATAAATATGCCGACTGTTCCAAAGCATCGGACCCTGAACACGTTACTTTATTTTAAAAATTCATATATGGAATGAAATTGGATCAAGTTAACTTGTAACCTGAATGGGAAAACGAAGAGAGCCCGTACCCTTAATATTTCGTGTTTTTGAAATATTAACTACCATTTCCTCTCGAAATAAATATTTCATTATATCATAAATTAAAATACCTTTAATGTACCGTTGTCTTTTGTGCATTACACTTTGACAATAGCACAAGTTCAGAATCCCTGCTGTATGAGTTAGTTGACAATAGATTGTCACTCCATTTAGGTAAGACAAAATCTATTTTATTTGGTCCTCCAAGAAAGCTGAAAAGTATCACAGATTTTTAAATTGTGTGTAATGGTCATATTATTAAAGGTTCTGACAGTGTTAAATATTTAGGAATCTGTATTGACAAGTTTCTTTCATGTGAAAATATTGTTTTAAGTATCATACAAAAAGTTAATGCTAGACTTAAGTTTTTATATAGAAATGCATCCTGTCTTAGTACACATTCTAGAAAGACCCTATGTTCTGCCTTGATACAATGTTATTTTGACTATGCCAGTTCTTCTTGGTATTGTGGAATAAACAAGCAACTGAAACACAGATTACAAGTAACCCAGAACAAAGTAGTACGGTTCATTTTAAACCTTAGTCCTAGAGAGAGTATTTCTAATAATATTTTAAACTCTCTAAATATGTTAAGAGTGGAGGATAGGGCTAAACAATTAAGATTAAATCATGTTTTTAATATATATCATGGTAATGCACCAGCTTACCTCCATGAACATTTTGTTTTAAATAATAATATCACAAGAAGTGCTACAAATAAGAATTTTATTATACCAAAGATAAAAGGGAAAGAGTCATGTTTTTTTTATAATGCAATCAAAGATTGGAATTCATTGCCCTTGGAGATTAAAGAGGTGAAAACTAAACAAAGTTTTAAGAAAGCTGTAAAATCTTATTTATCTACAAATACTAGTGTTACTACATAAAAATGCTTGTCTAATTTTATTGTTTATTTATTATTTTAGTATCATAAGCATTTTGTGATAATTACCAAGACAAAACATGCTACTGTAAACATATCATTTTTCAAAGCATTATGCTATACTTATAAAAGTACCTGCCTAAATTCCAATGTTTATGTAATTTTGTTATTTTTTGTTTACTAACATGGCTGTTAATTGAGGACCCCATTGGAAATAAGCTTTTTAATAAGGCTTTTATGGGCTATCCTCAGGTAATATTTATCAACTGTATGTCATGCAATGTATTTAATAATTATTACATATATATGTTAAATTGATCTTTCTTAATTAGCATAGTGCTGAAATAATGTGTGTGTATTTTCTTTTTTCTAGTAGTATGCTAGTCTTTAATGTTTTAATTTGTTAATCATGACATTCTGTGATATTTTTACCTGAATAAAATGAAATGAAATGAAATCTATTTTTAGAATTCCTTATCAGTAGAGCTTGCATACTATTTAGATGCGGACAAACTGCTCCACATGCTTCTTTGTTTACAAGAGTAAAACAGTGGCTTGAATCTTACTTTGTAATGTAAATTTAGTGATAATATGGCTAACTTTTGTAAGAAGGGTGCAACAAAACACTGTTGTCATGGAATTTGCAATAGTGACTCAAGGTATGCCCACAAAGAATATATGCAAGGAGTTGATTTTATTAGATTTCCCAAACCCTGGAGAGACATTGAAAAGTGTAAACGATGGGTAAATGCTTGTAAACGCGAAGGATTTTCAACTGCAAAGGTCACTAAGGATACATATATATGCAGCAAGCACTTTGTTGGAGGAAAAGGGCCAACAAATGAACATCCAGACCCTCTTCCTGCAACTGCAACCGAATCTGAAATAAGTAATATTAAGTACAGCATATTAATATGTGTTGAAATTTTGTCTTAAAATATACACTAGTACATGTATATTTAGAAAAATGCATTGCTCATGTGTTCATCTGTTTATTTTATATCTATTGACAGATCAAAAAAGTACAACAAAACGTAAATGTCCCTCTCCCAGACAAGAAATCTCACGTCCCAGGAAAATGGCGAGAAAATCCCTTCATCAAGAACTAGAAGTGACTGATTTCACAGATAACACAAGTACAACTGAGTCCATACCTCAATGTCCAAGTATCTGTCTACCTTCAGATTAAATGACAGATAAATGCTTTCAAGTGAAACCTCCAGAAGCATCAATGAGTACCCAAACTGAGAGGAACATAAACATTGAATTAGAGTATCGAATTGAAAATTCCATGCTAAAAAACAAAGTAAAATTGCTCCAAAATGAAGTTGATCATCTGCAAACATCAAGCAGTCTAAAATTACCTAACAAACAAAAATCCTTTGTAGAGACTTCCAGTGAATTTACCTTTGATGTCATAATGAAGGATGAAGAGAAGTTCAAGTACTATACAGGACTAACCCTTTCACAGTTCACGTGTTTGTGGGAGTATCTAGGACCTTCCAGAAATAAGCTAGTTTATTGGAACAGTGACTGTGAATATCCTGACAGATCGCCAACCAAGAGACCTAGACCAAAGCACAAACTTGAACCAAAAAATGAACTGTTCATGACACTCGTGAGGCTAAGACATGGATTTCTTGTTGAAGATCTATCATACAGATTTAATGTTAGCACCTCTATGGTCTCTAGAATAATTCTCACATGGGTTCAGATTTTGTATAAAAGATTTCTTCCTCTCAGATCAAAAATGTTCCCAAGTAGGTCTCACTTTCGCAAGTTTGCACCTAAGTCTTTCAAGAAGTACAAAAATATCAGATGTATTATAGATTGTACAGAGGTGTTTGTTCAACAACCTAGAGACTTCGGTAAACAGGGAAATTGTTACTCTTCATACAAGGGTCACACCACATGTAAATTTCTAGTTGCAATTGCACCGAATGGAGCAATTGTTTTTGTTTCAGATGCATTCGAAGGATCAATTTCTGATAAAGACATTGTCATCAAGTCTGGTTTTTTAGACCATTTAGAGAATGGTGATGTAATTATGGCAGATCGTGGTTTTGTAATTGATGATTTACTAATGACACGGGGTGCAAAACTTGTTTTGCCTCCATTTTTAGGAGGAAGAGCAAAACTTAGTGCTCAGGAGGAGGCAAGCACGAAAGACATCGCAAAACATCGCATCCATGTAGAACGCACCATAGAGAGAATGAAAAAATTTAGAATTTTACAGAAAACAATACCGTTGTCATTAGAGCCTGTATTTTCTCAGTTAATATTTGTTGTTGGTTGTTTAGTTAATTTTCAATATCCAATAGTTAAATAAATGTATCTGAATTTAATGAGTTTTGTTTTATTCATGCAGTTTTATATTTAAATAAAAGTTAAATCAAGTGATATAAAATGACTGATCAAAAGTTTTGAGCATTTCATATGTTCTAATAAGAATTCAAAGAAAAACAGTACATTTATGAATCACATAAACCTTTATTCTTTATTCACATTTATATCACTTTACTCTGATAAATCAACTGGTTCTAGTCTCCTTGGAATTCTTAACTCAAAATACTCGGGACAGAGTCTAGTGTAATGAAATTTGACAAGTTTTTGAGATAAAATTTCCCAAAATGTTTTGTCAAACCTGACTCTTTCACAGAAAGAGACTTTCGATGACCAAACATAAAAATCACACCAATTACAACCCATTACTCCTAACTGCATTTGAACTTGAAAATAATAGTCATGGTTTCGCTTTAGAGCAATGGTTCCACTTTTCTTTTTCATGAGAAAAAAAATTTGATTTCTGTGAACCTGACAAAACTGAATCAAAATTTACAATGTCTGCATCTTTAAGCATGTATGGACATTTGATTTCCAGTAGACCATGTACATCATTATTTTCACTAGGATCGGTTACCAATCCATCTGGACTACATCCTAGCTCTGGATTCTTTGGAGATACCCAGAATCCTGTTGTACAAGCTTCAAATGAAGGAGTAACTTCTTTCTTTGAACTAGTATAATGTGAAAAAGCAAGTGATTCTTTTTCAATCCCATAAAGCATTGCTCTTGTTTGATATGATGTAGATGGATACATAATGTTTGACAAAGTGTTTCTGATGGCTGAGTCGGATTTAAGTGTAGCCACTGTCTTTGATTTTGAAGCTATTATTCGTACACGTCGGTGACAGTTCCACTCATCACACCGCTGGGAAGATTTCAGTGGGATCTGTGCTTAAGGACAGCGAAAGATTTTCCAAAAATACTGTACGTTTAATCTTCAGCTCTTCTGCATGCAGGTCATCTATGTCATAATCTGCATAATTATATTTCAGAAGTGTAGCCCACATACTACTGGAACAGTTTTGAAACTGAAGTTCCTGCCAGAATGTATTTTCCTCAATATCAGGATTGTCATCAGTCTGATATATTGGTGGACGGGGGTCATATGAGATCAGTTCGTCAATCTTCTTCTGTTTGATTCCGGAATACTTAGATTCTGTAATTTTTTGTGGATTCTTTCTTTTCTTCCTTCCAACATTCCACTCGCACTTTTTTGAAGTACAAGCAGCTGGTTCATGGCCATATTGTTGACAATAGTCCAGAAGGGCAAATAGCACAGCTGCAACATGGCTACATCTTCCCATGGATGAAGCAATGTAAGTGCATGAAGCATCCTGCACAAAACCAGTTTCTGTAGACATTGTTACGGTGACATTGTAAGATATGTTGATTCTGTAGGTTGCCATTACAGAGGCCTTCAGAAAATAAACGTTCCCTGACTTAAAGTCCTTTAAGTTACAAACATGCCCACTCTTGAAATATTGTTTCCCTTTTTTCAATGGTTTTGATGTGTGTAGGTCATCAATATCCTCTTCTCCCGAATCATTTCCAGGCTTGTCTACTAATTGCACACTTTCAATTATATAATGATGAATATGACCTTCATTGAAATATTGTGGCAAGTTTGTAGATGGGAAAACTTTCCAACCAACAACTGGGGGAATTTTTGGGTTGTTTGATGCATCATCTGAAGTTGATGCTCTAAGATCTGATGCCTTCAAATCCATCCATTTTCCAGCATCAACACTTACACTTATGTCTGTGTTTCCAGATGAAATGCAGTCTTTTACTCTACAAAGTAATGAAACTCATGTACTTAATTCAGTAATTAATCATGTACTTAAGATATAAAATGCAATAATTTTAAATTTATTGATTCAAAAACGATATACATGTAATAATAGCTAATAGCTAAAAGATTTTAAGCAGTGGATACAAGAAATAGATATAATAAAAATGTAAACAAAGAAAGTTTATGTTACCTCTGGACTAGATCACACTTATTTCCAGATGTTTTAACTCCTCTGCAAAGTAGCCATCTTCTTAATTGTACAACAGAATGATTTTCAACCTCTGGATAAATTAATTTTGCACCAGGAACATCATCTTCTGTTAATTTGATTGCCTGAAACTTACTAGTACTCGCCATTGTTATGATCGTACAAGATAATGTTTGTCCGCATCATACGGGCATCTGAGATAAGGGCATAACCCATAGCATCTGCATCTCATTAGTGACGCAGGCGATAAGGGATTCTGAACCTATGCTATTAACCACAGTTGGAATACACTAAAATCTTTAATGGTTGATGTACATCTACGATTTCATCATCGAAAATTGTATGTTAAGGACATTGACAAGTCACGGTTTTTCGGAGAAAAAGGATTTATATCATGGGTTTTTTCTATTATAAAACTTATCGGAACACCTCGACCTTTTCCGTCGCTCACTGAAAAAATTCTAATGAAAACCAACAAAGCGTATTTTATAAAGGTAATCAAAAACGCACGTGCTCCCTACAACACTTGTTCAACGGGTAGAATCATCTCTACAGCAAGAACGAAAAGCGGTGATTGATTTGTTATATATTATATTATATTCAGTGACAGGCAGTAAACAGTTTTCATCAGGCTGTAATTTGATTTACCGTGGTTATACTGGACAAAGATGTGTCAATTACTAATAGCTCCTATAACTGTATTAGATCGTGCTAAGGAAGCAACCTTGAGTAACTGCAAACATGTGTATTAAAAACAAACCCACATCAATGTTTTATGATAATTAGGGCCCCGCAAGGATTTGCGGGTGCCCTATGGTAATCACTCTGTCTGTCCGTCCGTCTGTCTGTCTGTACGTCTGTCACTCTTCCGTCCACAAATTTTCTGTTTTTTTTTCTAATAACTTTTTTTATGGTTTCCCAATCAAGTTCAAAATTGGTATGGTAGTTTAATAGGCAGAAATACATATTTTGATGCTAAGTTTGATTCTCTATGTCTTCTAGTTTGGAGCTGGGGTGGTGGGGTAGATTCCTTAACTATGCATAAGAATGAACGGGCAACTTTTTTTATAGTTGCCCAATTAAGATCAAATTTGGTACGGTAGTTCAGTAGGCAAAAAATACATATTTTGATGCTAGTTTTGGTTCTCTATGTCCCTTGGTTTGGAGCTGGGGTGGTTGGGTAGATTCCTTAACTTTATATAAGAATGCATTGGCAAAGAGAGATAACTGCTGAAGATGTTCCCATTCAGTAAACTAAATGCTACTAGGAGTCCCATGGGTTTAATTAGCTTTCCTCCTGAAGAAAATCCAGAGCATTATCTTTATCTGTCACATTGAGATTAATTACCACCTCTGTCTGCAAATGAAGTTTGTTTTGACGTTAAATCAATTTGGAATGCTATGAACACTCTGAAATGTGGATTTAAATAAAAAAATTTTATTATTTATTTTTGTTTGATAGTTATGATTTCATTGAATCCTCAAAAAAGAAATACTAGTAGATTAAAGAAGATATTTTGATTTATCAGAGTACTTTTTTTCACTTTTTTCCTTTTTTTTAATTTTAAAATATATTAATTCAAGAATGTTTTTTTTTTTCAATTTTTAATGTAGTTGTATAAAAACCCCATTCTAACATTAATACTGAAAAAGTTCTTATTGTAACTTTAGAAGAAAATGATGAGAGAGGTACAATTAATCCCTTGGGATTAATTATCTAGCCTGCTGCAGAAAATTTAGTAGTCTTCTCTTTATCTGTCACTTTAAGATTAATGAAAACCTTTGTCTGCAACTGCTGTTTGTTTGAAGTTATAAGGTCAAGCCTTCATGATATTTGCGTTCATTGAAGGCTGGCATTTTATATAACACAAGATTCCTAATTGTTTAAATATACATTCAATGTTAAGTTGTTCTTCACTGCCTAATGTAAATACAAGAATATTATTTTCAGGTTTTTGAATATTCAGGAATTATGTTGAAATTTTAAGAATACAGTTGCTGTTGCTTTTTCTTTGTTCATTTATTAATCATTCTCTAAGCTGCACCCTTTTAATTCTACCCCATGGCGGGGCCCTTGCTGACTGGTCAGTTTTCTATTTTTTTTCCAATACGGTAAATTAGATAATTAACGGAAAAAATTGAGCAGTTATGAATTCAAACAAATTACATGTTAAGGGAACCAACTCTAAAATAAAGAACAGTGTTGGCAGATCTGTGTCATGTTTCTAAATTCATGGTATCTAGATGTCATTCAAAATGAGGATACAAAAACGTATATTACATCAACATTCTGAAATAAATGGGTTTTGAAAAAAAATTATGGTAAAAAATTATGTATCCCCTGCTGACCGGTCACATCCGCCGTGTAGATAAAAATGCCCTGCTTAGAATATATTTCATATTGATAAATTAATATAAAATCAAACAACATACTTACATCCTCCACAGTTGATTTATATCACTCAGTTCCTAAATACCCAAGTTTGGAGAGACCACACCTGTATCTCACCTGAAGCCGGGGGAAGGCTCTCTCAGCAGACAGGGGAGGGTTCTTTTGTTGTAGCCTGAATTATTAGTATTCATGAAATATTTATAATGCATGTATCTTACAAGCACATTTCCAACGAAAATTCTTAGCTTTGTCCCCAAGTCCCTACATAACAAAGTTAATGTGGGCCTTAACCCCCCCCCCCCCCCCCCCCGAGCAGAAGACGAAGGAAGGCCTCCTCCGAGGAGAGGGAAAGTCCCCTCCCCCTTTCTTTCATTCCTTCACTCCTTTTATATCTCGACTCCAAACTTACGTCATAGGGACTACATCAGTCTTTTAATATTCCCCAAGAAGGATTTGGAGGAATGGTTACACTAGATTAAGAGAGGGATTTTTCTTCTTTATAATTTTTTGAGGACGGGAATCCTTACGTCGCGGGTTCGAATCCCATTGTGGGACGTGCAGACCGGTCCTTCGGATGAAACCTATAAACCGAGGTCCCGTGTCGCAGTAAGTGCTGGTACGAGAAAGATCCTTCCATACAGCTCTCCACCGGCAAGTGGTGGCTTCTCCATATGAGAGAAGCATTCTCAAGAGGGACGTTGAATAACATATAATCAATCAATGTATTCAATGTAACATATTATAAAAGTGATTTCTCTGATGGTTATGAGCTTTGTAGATGTCTTTTTAGCTGTTTTAATCTAAAGGCTCATCAAGCTTATGTTATGATATTTTGATAACAGTAGCATAAAAAGTCTTCTATGTTGTTAACAGATGCAGAAGAAAGTAACCCAAAGGATAGTCCTCCTTTGACTGTGACAAGCATAACTAGGTATCGGATTTAAATATCTATTACAGAATAGAATGGAATAAATTTTAATTTTCAGTCATGGTCCTTTTGGGGCATTACAGATACCAACATAATTTGTAACACTCAAAAGGACAAGAAGTACTTAAACAGCAAAACGAAACAAAAATTGTTTATATTGGGCAAATCATATGTTTAGAATTATCTCTCTTATACCAAGAACGTAGAAGAAAGTTATATATGGCATCACAATTGAGTTCCTAAACTACAAAAGATATCAACAGACATTGCTGTATGATATGCATGTTTCATAATTTTAACTATTTGGACAGCATTCTTCCTCTTAAATAATGTTGTTCAGTAATTCTTAAATAACATACTTACTTCCTCCGTAGGTTATTTTATTGTATCCTTTAGTTCCTTAACAAGAATATCAGTAGTCTCGTTTAAAGTCATCATTTCGTAAGTTCTATGGTCGACACAATGACCTTGTTAACAAATACAATTTATCATTGAGTGAAATGCTGACTGACGTTTTTCATACGAATTGTTAGTCCATTATTTATATACTGAATTGACGATGGATTTTCCCGTTATTTCCCGATCAAGACAAGGAGCACAAGGCGGGTGTGACCGGTCGGCAGGGGATGCTCATTCTTCTATGGGACCTGATCCCACCTCTGATGTTTGCTCTGGTCCGTGTTTGCTCTGCTGTTTTTTATATTGTTTAATGGACTTTGAGATTGAATGGTCGGCAGGGGATGTTCACTCCTTCATGGCACCCGATCCAACCTCGAGCAGGAGGGTTTATCTCTGCGATCCTAATTCTTCCCCAACAATTTAAGTAAATAAAATTATAGGATAAATTAATTGGAAAGTAATCATGATACTTCAAGCGATTTTGAAAAGATTTAAATCTTTACAGCAACACGGAACATAAAATATATTGTTAATTTAAAAACAATTGAAAAAAAATATATCCTTTACACCAGGAAATTATAAGCAAGTTATATATGACATTACAACCGAGTTCCTTTACAAAATATATTAACGGACAGTGCTATCGTAAATTCTATGGTCGATACTATGACCTTGTCAGCAAATACGATTTATCATTGAATGAAATGCTGACTGACGTTTTTCATACCAATTGTTAGTCCATTATTTATACACTGAATTGATCACGGATTTTTATACCCCCCGCAAACGAAGTTTAGGGGGGTATATTGGAATCACCATGTCCGTCCGTCCGTCTGTCTGTAGACGAGACTTTGTCCGGACCATTACTCAGAAACTATTGGAAGGATTTGTCTGAAAATTTGTACACATATTATTCACCATATGAAGTTGTGCACCTGATATTTTTCATCTTGATTGGATTATTATTTTGAATTTTACAGGTGTTTTTTTCATTTTTATTTTGGGGTTTTGTGTGGACCGTTTCTCAGAAACTATTGCAAGGATTAATCTGAAAATTTGTACAATTATTATTCACCATATAAAGTTGTGCACCTGAAATTTTCAACTCTTTTTGTTCATTTTTCTGCATTTTACAGGGTTTTTAAAATTTTAATTGACTTGTTCATTTTGGGCTCATGTATAAGGTTTGAGACATAGAATCTAGAATATCTGTACAAAAACGTGAACTACAGCTTAAAACTACTCATAAAAACTTAAAAAAAGAAACATCAAGTGTTAAAAACAATTTTTCCATTGCACAGAAGATAATGTAATTTCATTTGTCTCTTGGGAATAATGACTGGACATGCATCCAGTTAAAGATAAATTAATGAGTTTGGTGTTGGAAGTTGTTTAGGCATACATGTATCTCTTATCAAGTGTGTGTGTGTGTGTTATCAAATCTTCAGGGAAATAGGCACAAGAATTAAAGATCTCTCTTCTCTTATTCTCTTAATTGTAATTTATTGTCTGTCAAAACACTTAATTATTGGATGACCAGTTCTTTA